AATAATAATAATAATAATAATAATAATAATAATAATAATAATAATAATAATAATAATAATAATAATAATAATAATAATAATAATAATAATAATAATAATAATAATAATAATAATAATAATAATAATAATAATAATAATAATAATATTGAAAAATGGATCTCTAACGCTGTGCAGAACTAAATACAGGAAAATGAAAGGCATCAGAGATGCTTACTGCATTTCTTTGTACTCAAATAAAACTTTCTATAGCAATCTTTCTGCTTTCGAAAGATCCTGTCGACTAGAATAATTTGTGCAACTCTGAACCATTAAAAAAGATTAAATAAAAGTTGATTCCTCGTAGAATACTTTTGGAAATCATTCTCCACCGAAATCATTTTACTGATTGCAATGCACCTTGATCATGTAAATTTGATCTTATTCAACGAAGTTGTTTTTACTTTTTTCGGGGAAGCAATACGGTAAATGAAGAATACCGAGCAGAACTCATGAAATAATGTAATCTTCTGTTGGTTATTAGAAGGACAATTCACAGTAACTAGTCTTTTTGAGAAATGTACTTTGATTCGCTACCTTCATCCCACATGTAGTCTAAACAAATCGATCGGATGTGCAGCAGATGGGGGAAAAAAACAGGCAAACAAGGGTTGTCACATATTTGCGCACAAAGTTTAATGATTAGAAAAAGCTTTTCCACAATATGCCGATGTCACGACTCATTCCAATATTGCCCTAGCATATGATAAAAAATGTGCACCATCCCCCAGAATGATAAAATAATGATAAAACTGCCATGGGAGTGTATATTCCGAAAATTCGGAACCTTCTGAGTTAATGTAATGATTTTTTCAACAATTATCTTCAACGGTTTAATAGAACAAATATTTGATAGAAACAACTGATTTAAAGATAAAGATGAAAGATCAGAATACTGATGACACAGTGATAATATGAATATCATCCTGCCACTTTATAACTAACTCCCTTCCATTGTACTTCCAAATTGATGAAGCATAGTAGACGATGATTGTTTTTTTTGCGCGTCACCACTGTCAGATATCAGTGGTATTACGCTGTGGTAATTTTAATGTAAATCAATCGCAGAAGGTCTTTAGTAAAGGCCATGTTAACAAATATTGTACCCTTCTCAATACTTATCAAGGGAGAAAACATCAGATGCAATGCTTCATTGCTTTGCTTTATTTCTTCATAAACTTCAGAGTGGGATGACAAAAAAAATCTCCCCTTAGCAGTGCCTTTTTTTAAAGTTTATGATGTCACCAACACCATAACTAATTACTGTTTTCGCCAATGAACCATGACAGGAGATCTTAACGAAGCCCGTAATTCCACATTGTCCAGCCTATTATTGTACGGCGCATAAAGAATCTGTGCCAATTTTAAGGAACTCTTATTTAAAGCTTTAAAATCAAGAGGAAATACTAAAAACAAAACCTGGCTAACACCACAACGGTATAAAAAAGAAAACTTATTTTGTAAATAAATTATAGTAAAGTGTTGAAAAGAACAGACCGAACGTCACATAACCGTTTCAGAAACTAAAGATTTGTTATTTCAGCCATTTTAAAAACAAGAAAGCACTGCAGAGAAAGTATTCTCATGAAATGACTCTCATTACTTACAAAGAAAATAGAGCAGTGTGCATCCGACAACTCTGTCGGAAAATCTCATGTATTTATTGCTTTTCATTTTTACTAACAATATGGAATATTAATTTATATAAGCGATTTGAATAAAGAGAAAAGTTAGCACTTATACAAGTGGAAAGAAATCAAAATTAAAAATGACCATTGATATGAAATGAAACAGTGACATAAAATGAAAAACGGATTTATCCTTATGCACTCCTAATGGTGCAACCAAATCTTTCCTATGCAATTAATCCAGTTCTGAACTCTGAGGTATGATAAGTACAAACACAGGTTTGAAGCAGAGCTTTTCAGTCAGCTATGGTTTAAAACAAAATTACGGACACTGACAATGAATACACACGTACTGTAATCGTTAGGTGGTAAAAAGGGGATCTATATAAAAATTAATTGTGCTATATAGTGTAAGACAAGTCATTCTGATGCAACCAATGTATGTATCTAAATTTTCGAAAAATTAGCAAAAAAAAATCCGTCTTATCAAGTTTTGCTGTTGTCGGAATACATCGGATGAGTAAAATGAAAGCTTACATTTTAAAAGCTAACTAAAGCATGCATGTCTCCCAAGCTTTTTTGTCATAGCAACCAATATTAAGCGCTTCAATCAAACTCACTATAGTTTAAGCCAAACTACTTAAACACTGACATTAGGCAGTACAGATTGGTTTGGCCGGCATTTTTTTACACAGTGCCAGTCTCACGACCTTTAAAATATCAGTCGCTTAGTCTTTACCTCAATCCTTGCTAAGAATATCACTTACATCATGTCTCTTGTCCTGTCTGCATGATTTTGGCAGTACAGTTCAAAAGACAATAGTAAAATAAGTAAAATTCTATGACAAAATATAAAAGAACCAGTAGCACTCCCCGTTTCCCCTCCCCGCTTGATTGAGAAAAATTGGGACTTGTTACGTCCTCATGTTTTTTGTCATTCCCGTCAGCGCAAAGTGGGACGCTGCCCTTTTTTCTCTGTCGAATAAGTTGAAAAAAATTATTATCGAAGAGAGAAGTTTTATGATAGAATATAACTCAAACCCGTAAACAAGAGAGAGTCATCAAATGTGTACTTCGAAGGCATATGCAACATCCAAGATGATGTCACCATACCCAGTCTGGTTCCTATTTCCAAATAGTACCAAACATGATGAATACCACATGGTCTAAAATGTTAGTTTACTTTAAGAAAAAGTGGCATACTTCATGGCAATCATTACATAAGGTATGGGCAAACATGGCATCATGATATGCAACATTATATATATATATATATATATATATATATATATAAACTATAATT